CCTTTTTTGGTATTTTCACACAAATTCTTCTGCTAGTTGGGGTTTAGTCCACTTCTGTATCCTTCCCTTCAAGGCTCAGGGGTCCAGGATTATCTTTTGTGTCTGTGTTAATTGGTTTCCCTTTTCTTTGTTGAAGAGGGTGTGTGCAGTCTTTCTGCCTAGTCTGCCATCTTGCTGGAACTCCATTTCTATCTATTTTAAATGAAGCTTTTTACAAAGCAAGTTGTTAGAACTTTTCTGGGAAGGAATAATTTTTAAAAAGGATGTTTGTTGTAACATTTTATAATAAGACTCATTGGAAAGAGTATAGCAATTTAGGGAAATAATACATTATAACTTTAAAATAATTCTGAGAACAAGAATTAGCAACGTGTTTATCGAACTCATTTGAACGATGACTCTTCAGTACAATGCCTCTGCTGTGTGATTCATAGGGTTTTGAGATCCACACCTGTGCACATTGTTTCTCTAGATAATCTCTGCTGCTGAAACACTGACATTACACCCGTCTAGTAAGATTGCTAAAGAAAACCTTGATGTGTTTTGTGAAGCTTGGGAATCGCAAATCAGTGACATGTCAACACTGCTGAGAGAAATCAATGATGTGTTTGAAGGAAGACGAGGTGAGAAACTGCCCCTATATTAGAATTTGTTGTAACTTTAAGGTAAATGTTGATTTTTTTCCTTAATGCTAAACCTCAGATGCAAAATGAATTACTTTGTTATAACCTAGTTGGGCTTTTACAGTAAAATGTATTTCACAGGAAAATGATGTAAATACTATTTTTCTTTCTTTAACATTTAAACAGTAAAATATGTTGTAAAGCATTGTAGTAGATTTCTTTAAATTAATACTAACATCTGGCTTTTCTACGAAAGTGAAGTCTTTTTACATTTGTTCTAAATTGCTTTTTAGTTAGTACAAAAGCTGTTCTAAGATACAATAATTCTCCGATTGTTAACTGTAATTTTGTTACCTTCACACTGAAATGAATGTAGCTATTCGATTTTTGAAATGCTTTCCTTCCATTTGGATGCAACCTCTCTCCTTCCTTGATGACTACATGTTCTTGGAATGTTTCCGGTGGTGGGTGAGTTCACTGGTATTTCTACAGCATGTAGGATAGCACCACACAGTGTACAGCACGGCATCATTACTCTTTATTTTAATATCAACTTGGAGTTTGATTTATTCCCCATTGTATAGTGTGTCCTGGTCTTTACATGTATGTGTTACATTTTTTTCTCTCGGAATGGCTTATGTTAGTGTAAAAGCATGCTTTGTTTGTTTGTTTTTAAATAAAATGCCATATGAAGTCACAGTGACATCAAATCACATACTTATTTTTACTGATTATAAACTTTTCATATTTTTAAAAATACCCATTTAGGATAAATACTGATATGCTCACAAATCAAGGAATTCAGATTTTGATGGTGTATAACATCATTTGTAAAGTATAATAAATATGTGCCACGTTTCCATTTTAAAGATTTCTGTAATAGCCGTGTAGCATACCGTTTTGATACTTTGATAAAATATTTGCAGCTGCAGGTATTTTTATATGGGGCAAGTTTCACATATTAAAAGGTAAAGTGGTATAATTGATACACATTTAAAGAATGATAAGTTAGCTGTAGGGGTTATTTAGGAAAGGAAGAGAAGTAGCCCGGTATGGTAACAGGACGCTGGCTGGAGGGAGACAGCAATATCAAGACCCAGCTCTCTCTAACTGGTCTCTGGCAAGCACTTCTTCTCTTTGTTCCTGAGTGTTTTCGTCTCTGTTCATTAAGGAGTTGGGCCATGTGATCTCAGAAGCTGCTGCCGGCTCTAATATGCTTTTGCGAACACTACCTGAGGTAAATGTTCCTTTAAGCTTTGGCCATGCAGCTGCCCCTAAGGGTGTCTCGGTGCTGCCTGTCTCTCTTTAAAGGCCAGAAGAAAATTGTTTTCTGGCTTTGTTACTAGGTGTCATCAGTCCATCACAGTCTGAGGACTTATAATTGATTTCACGCACGTGTACAAGTGCTCCACGTGCATTGCAGAAAGCCCTACTGGAAGGTTAAAGCCCTACTAGGAGCTGCAGGCTGTCGCCACCAGAAAATGGCTTGAGCCTGACCAGCCATCTCCCCTTTCCCAGAACAGCATTCACTCAGGACAGGTTTCCCTCATATTCTTTTCAGTGCTGGGTAAGGTTTTGTTTTTATCTGTGGAAATTTGGGGGGTGGCCAGGTCATCGTTACTTACAATCTTTCTGTGTCCTTGGCTGGCAAGTTCACCATCATCCACAACTGGGATGGCACCTGAGTTCCTCTTTTTGTTGTGGTGTCCTGAGCCTTCTTCGTTTTTGGATCTGGGATTCTTGTGCTTTCTGAACCAGGCTGTTCTGCCAAAATTGTGGCCTATCTTTTCTCCTTTCATATTTTTATACAAAAAAGAGGATTTATAGGAGTTTTACAGAGTTCTTTTTTTTTTTTCATATCCAGGAAAACAACAGTCATTTAACAGTTAGTTACTCCTGGACCAAGGACTGAATAGGAAATAGCATTAAGAGTTTGATAAGCTTAAGAAGAGTACGTTCGTTCTATAAAAAAACAAAACCGACCCCCTTCCTGTTGAGTTGATTCCGACTCATGGCAGCTCCTTGTGTTACACAGCAGAACCGCTCCGCAGGGTTGTCGGTGGCTGTAACCTTGACGGGAACAGGTCACCACGCCTTTCTTCTGGAGAGTTGCTGAATGGGTTCAAACCACTGATTTCTAGGTTAGCAGAAATCACTCATCACTGCAAACCACTCATGCCATCCAAGGACATTTTTGGTCTATAAACACAAGTAAATTTATTCTAAAAACAAGGGGAAAATGTTCCACTTTCCCCGTGGATTTTTTTATCACCATCATCATCAACATCATCATCACTATTTCCACCACTACCACACACTGAAGCTAACTAGGCTGTGAGAAGACATTGGGTCCAGTTTCCTCCCCTTAATCTCAGTCTCTCTCTTACCTCCTAACGTGCCTCTCTCCCTGTCTCCTTTCTCCACTCAGTGGCGGCTTTAGGACTGGCCCTTCGGGCCCCAGAGGGGAAGATCTGACCTGTGACAAGTGGGAGAGCGTCTACCCCTGCTTCTCTATCCAAACGAAACTCTTTGCTCTTCCCATGGGGAAATGCCCCCATGGGAGATTTCACTCACTAAACATCTAATGCAGTGTTGATTCAGTGCTCCCTTCTTTCTGCCTTTCTCCCACCAGAGGAGTTTCTGAAAAAAGCTGGGGAAGTTCAGTGAAAAATAAGAATTACAGACGAGAGTCAAAATGGGTGATACTGTAAACATGATTGTCCAGTGCATATAGCTGTGATGATACTGCCAGCCAATGAAAATGGTGCCATCGATTGAGAACTTACTCTGTACAGGGACTAAGTGCTGTATGTGCAGTCTCATTTAACCCTCTCGGTAGCCTACGAGGCAGGTATTATTATTCCACATTTCAGTTCTGGTAAAACTGAGGCTTGGAGAAGTTAATTTGTGCAGGGTCCCATAGTGAGTGAACTACAGAAAGCTGGCATCTAACCAGGGTCTCAGTGAAGGCACACTATTACTCAGGCAGCCAGCTCCACTCCAGGGTTAAGTCTTCCCAGCCTTAAAGTGTTCTAATGAGAATGAACCAGTTCTGTCAAAAGTACTCACTGCTGCAGCTCTGAGTTCTACTTTTCTTCCCTCCCAAAGCCATTCCAGAAATAACTGGGAGATCCCAATCTTAGGCAGTTCTGAAGGGACAAAACAAGGAACAGGCAATGGAGGTCTCAGAGCCTGGCTGCTTCTTTAGGTCCACCCCTTACTAGCTGAGCATGAGAGAGGCTAAATCACAGACGAGATCATTGGGAAGGACAGTTAATAATGGAAGTCCAACACATTGTCTGGCCTCATGAGTTTTAGTTCTTTATTGCAATGGACATAAATGAACTAATCTACCATAGTGCTTGGAATATAAGTGCTAGTCCTTTTTTTTTTTTTTTTTAAAGAAAACCAGTTATGTGATCTTGAGTTAGTTCTTTAATTTCTATCCCTCAACTTCCCATCTTTAAAACAGGGATGTTAGACTCGATTCAGAGTGCCACCGCCCTTACTCTTGCTCTGTGACAGATGTTGCTGGATGTCTTGGTATTTCTTACACTCATGGCCTCCCGGGCCAGAATTGAAATGGAGAAGCTACCCATATTGACTTTGGACTAGATGCTTGCTATGATTTTCAGTTTCAAGTTACATACTGTGTACATGGTCTCTCCTTTAGGTTTAGGTGACCTGTCCTCAGAAAGTCAGGGTGACCTTAGCTTCCTCAGGCAGAGGACCTCTACTGCCCTCAGCTGGTAAAGTGTCTCGCTGTTCAGAAAGGCGTCCTTATGTGGGGTTCACATAAGGGATGGTGCTGGTCAGTGTGGTGCACAGCCTTTCTCTGTCCCTGATTTTTATCATGAAGTATATGAGAAAAGCATTTTTCACAAAGAAGTCCAGCTCTGGGTTCGTCATTATTGACCGGACTGAGTCCAGTACATAGTGTTGTTGCTCCTGTTCTCTAGGGCTGTTATGACAAATTTGCCCATGACCTTGCACCCGCCAAATGCTTTCCATACTGTGGACAGGGTATATGCTTAGAGCCTGATTGATCTTTCCAAAAAAAAAAAAAAAAAACCAAACTCACTGCCATCAAGTTGGATCTGACTTATAGCGACGCCCCCCTTGGGCTTCCAAGGCAATATCACTACAGAACTAAATTGCCCAACCTTCCTTCTGAGGAGTGGCCAGTGGGTTTGAACCACCAGCTTTCTGGTTAGCAGTCAAATGCCTTAGGCACTATGCTACCGGAGCTCCTTGCTACTATTATCACTCCTGTTCTTAAATATTACTGAAAAGCCGTTGCTGTAGTCTCACTTCCATAGTTGTGTTCTGCATATCTTGACTGCTCTGACTAAGAAAATGACCAGGCTTGTTTGCAAGTATCACTTAAACAACCACTTAAGTGCCTGTTAGGAGACAAAACACCCAACTGCTCCTCAGAAGGAAGGTTGGGCAATCTACTTCTGTAATGATACTGCCTTAGAAATCCAAGGAGGGGTCACTATGAGTGGGTCTGACTTTATGGTAAATAACAACAAGAAGAAGAAGCACTGAGAGAGCACCTTTAGTGTACTTCTACTTTGAAGTCAGGGTCTGAGCACTAGATCATAGTCCATCTTAGCCTAAGACTCAGATATCACAACAGGGACTCCTGTGCTTGTATCAGAAATCAATACCTGTCTTTCTGCCTTTCTGCTGTTATCCCATTCTGCCTTCTCAGCCAAGCCTCCAGGGAGCATGATCTTGGATTTAGAGGGGGGGGGGCAGATAAAAAAACAAAATAAACCTCCAGTTCCCTTAGTGATGGATATGTGTCAGCATTTAGGATTTGAGATTTTGGAGAAATAAATGTGAAAAAGAACCTTCTCTCACAGTTTGCAGACTACCCCTCCTTTAAGGAAGCTTAATTTCCCTCATTCTGTTTGAACCATCGTAGAGTTAATATGCCTGAGTTTCAGTTCATAGGGTACTTCTGACTAAATTGTGTTTAGTCTTGGACAGCATGTTTTCATAAACACTTTCTTTTTAAATCAAGCCTCCTGAGCAAACCTTGTTTGGTTTTCAGTTCTGTAACCACTGTTTTCATATTCTGATGGCCCTGATTGAACACCCTGCACTTATTTTATCAATCGGTAGATTGGATGGATGAGGTGATGTTCACTGAAATGAGAACAGGAAGGACATGTTTATGGATAAAGATGAGCTTATTTGAGGGACATGAATCAAGAACAACAGCAATCCATACAACAAGAAGTCATGACCTAAATTGGGGCAAAAATGGTGGAAATGGAGATAAGGGGACTGGTGTAAGAAGAATATTTGAAGTAGAACTTGGTGATTATTTGAATATAGAAGTGAGGGAAAGGGAGGAGTTTGAGGATGGCAACTGGATTTGGATTAGATTATCTCAGTCCTCCTCCTGAGTTTAGCTAATCATCTGCCTGGCCTTTAATGACTTGGATTCATTTTAAGTCAGGCTGGGGACATGGATTTTTTTGTTTTTTTCTGATTGATCATGCCATACAGAAGCCCCTCTAGAACCATCTAGCTAATTATGAGATCTTCTAGTAGGAATCCGTGGGGCCAGTGCTGGTTAATGCATGGCCTTCACCCATCTCTCTGGAGGCCTGCGTGTTGCTACGGTGCTGAACAGGTTGGGCAGGGCTTCTGCACTCGGACAGGGTAGAAAGAAAAGTCTAGCGGTCCACTGCCAAGAATCAGCCAGTGAAAACCCTATGGATCCCAACGCTGCAGGCCATCATGGGGATGGCTCAGGACTGGGCAACGTTTCATCCAGTTGTACACGGGGTCACTGTGAGTCAGGGGTTGACTCAACAGCAGCTAACAATAGGGATAACATAGTACATCTTCAGTGACATACCAAAGCTTTATTGTTTTGTAAAGTTGCAGAAAGGCTCTAGATTTAAGAATAGCATTTCTCACTTAACTTTTTTAAGAAATCATTTTGATACCCCTATAAGATGACAGGGCTTTTTGAACTTAATTTTGAGAACTTATCTGGGGGAGTAAACTCAGAAGTAAGGATGGCACAATTGTGGTGTTGACCAGTAAAAGATTAGGGAGTATTAAACCTATAGGATTCTCCTGTGAGGGCAGTATTTTAAAAATAATTCTCTATATCAAATATAAGGAGCTCAGTACAGTAGCTAAAGCATTCAGCTGCTAACAAAAATGTCAGCAATTGGAACCCACCAGCCACTCCACAGGAGAAAGATGAAGCAATCTGCTCCTGTAAAGATTTACAGCCTTGGAAACCCTATAGGGCACTTCTACTCTGTCCTATTGAGTCACTGTGGGTCAGAATCAACTCAGTGGCAATAGGTATATCAAATATCTGTACCAAATATATTTCCCCAAGTAGTTCTGTTTCTCCAATTACTTCTAACGTTTACAACATGTTTTCATTAGATGAATTATTTGTTTATGCTACTTCTTAGATTTGATATAATATCTAAATATAATTGAGTCAATGCATTATTGCTTTGCTTGGAATCAATAAGTAGAGTTTTCTGGGAAAAAATCTATTAAAATTAATTATAAAATAATTCAGACTTTGGTGCAATTTAAAAAAAGAAGAAGAAAAGATGGGAGTAGAGGAGACAAACCACGGATGACTATTACCCACAGAGAGATGGTTTACCTCGGCGCACGTGTCCCCAGTCAGAGGCTTTGGGGCATCCTCACCCTCTCCAAAATCACTCCATTCCCCCCCCTTTTTTTTTTTTCTTTAAAAAAATAAAAATAATCAGCTGCTTTGATTTCTCTTAGAATTTGGGAGAAATGGGATACCCCTGCTTGCATAGCATTGGGTGGAGGACGCTAAGAATGATAATTTTTGCAATTCTCAAATTTGTATAAACCATTCTAACAGTAAGATGAGAGTAGGGAGCAAAACATAGTACCTATAAGAGCATCACAGGGACTGGAACTGCCAAGTGACAAATGATTGGCGGGTGGGAATGGTAGTAAACCAGTCTACCTGCAAGCTCACTTTTCACTGCATTTATTTCTCCCTACTCTCTGATTTCCTTCACTCTGTTGGATCTGAAGACAGATTGAAACAGTTGGCTTTTTTACCCCCTTTTGGAGAATACACGTACACATGTCAGGGCCATGGATACTATGGAAGATCACAAGGTGAAAAATAATGTAATAAATACGTACCTCAGCTAATTATACTTCAGTAGTGATTACATTCTCTTTTACAGCTTATTAAGACCACTTTTCAGGATCATGTAGACAGGATTTGAATTAAGATAGGTGATGAATTCTGCGATTCTGAGTGACCTGAAGACCATCTTCTGTTAATCTTCTCACAAGTTAATTAGGCATCTTTTACATCAGGGCTAAAAACAAGTCAGGAAATAACCTATTCCTTTTTAAGTCTCTCCTCCCCCAAACTTAGTATGAGAAAGCTGTTCATAAAATTCCCTTATAGTCCTGACATTACAAACAAATGATATGTGAATTTTAAAGCTCTTACCAAGTACCATTAGCTGACCCTTAGCAACAAAACAGTATCTCCTCTAGATCAATACCGTCTGTCCAGAAGTGCTGTTCAGCATCTCAGGACATCTCACATACGTAATTTAAAATGCTCTAGTAGCCATATGGGAGCTCTGGTGGCCTAAGGCATTTGACTGCTAACCAGAAGGCTGGTGGTTCAAACCCACAAGCCACTCCTCGGAAGGAAGGTTGGGCAGTCTACTTCTATAGTGATACCGCCTTGGAAACCCAAGGAGGGGTCACTGTGAGTTGGATTCGACTCATAGTAGTGAGTCTGAATTTTTTGGTTTTTAGTAGCCATATGAAGAAAGTGAAAAAAGAGAGGTGAAATTCATTCTATAATTTTTAATTTAACCCAATATGTCAGAAGTATTATTGTAATATATAATCAATATATAAAAGTTACAGATATTTTTACATTCTTTTTTTCTCAGTACTTGCTGAGAAAGGTGGGTGGTTCAAACCCACCAACCACTCCTTGGGAGAAAGATGTGGCAGTCTGCTTCCATAGAGCTTTAGCACCTTGGAAACCCTATGGGGCATTTCTCCTCTGTCCTGTGGGGTATGAGTGTGAATCAACTCGACAGCAGTGGTGGTGGTGGTGTTAGGTGCTGTCGAGTAGTCTCTGACTTATAGAGACCCTGTGCATGGCAGAACGAAACACTGCCTGGTCCTGCACTAGCTCCATGATCCCTACTATACTTGAGCCCATCACTGCAGCCACTGTGTCAATCCCATCTCGTTGAGGGCCTTCTCCTCCTTCGTCTACCCTCCACCTTACCAAGCATGACATCCTTCTCCAGGAATGGTCCCTTCTGACAACATGACCAAGGTAGGTGAGACGAAGTCTAGCAGTAGGTTTTGTTTCTTAAGTTTTTAAAACTCTGATATATTTCCTCTTATAGAACATCTCAATTCACATTAGACTAATTCAGATGAAATTCCACAATTTCACCAATGGCTAGCGACTCCTACATGAGAAGCAAAGTTCTAGATGAGATTTTAATTATATTATGAACAGGGTCATCATTCTGTTCATGTAATAAGTCATTCTATAAGAAAGAGTGTGATTTAGTCTTCTTACGTTATATTTATTAAGTTGAACTATATGTACTTGCTGTTTTTGTATTTCAAAATGGTTGAATATCACCAATTTCATGTGGTTCAACCTAATTTAGCTGAACACACTTCCTTTCCTTGATATCAGGAAATAATTACTGTTCAAATCATATCTTGAATTCCAGCCCCAGATATCACAAACTAGGTTAAAAAAATCTATCATCCATTGTAGCCTGACTTAAGGCAGGATGTGGATGCAGGCGTGAAAACAGGGAAAGATACCGTGGGCATCACACATCTTCCTTTCCTCAGTTACTGTGCTTCCTGCTGTTATTTGCTTTACTCCTTCCAAGAGACTGGTTATTTGCTTTACTCCATCTCCTGTCTTCTACGCTGGGATTGTCTCTCCCTGTCTGGGAGAATGCATTGAGGCTAGTTGTCAGCGATTAGCCTGGGCCTTGCAGAAAAGAAGGAGGTGCCAATACTGGCACGTTGATGGAAGAGGAATCTGGATTTATTCAAGGCAGGCTGCTGTCGAAGGAGTTCACTGTGAGTGAAGTGGGCATTTGGAAGTCAGTGCCAGTAGACATTACACCTTTCTGCCATTCTGTTTGGGGAGGCAGCGATTAGCCAACATTTGTGCCTTAGAGTTGCGACTGAGACATTCTTCATGTTCACCAATCAAATCATAATTTCATTTCTGAATTATACGTAACTGAGACCGAATTATCAAAATGATATATTAGTAACATTTGTGTTTAATAATATTTTAAAAGTTAATTGTAAATAATAGGAAATATATTAAGTGAACAACTTGTTTCATATTATACATGTTATTTGTAGGAGAGAAGTATGGCTACCTTTCACTTCCAAAACCAATGGTAAGTAGAAGAGTTTTATATATCTCAGCATGTTTTCATTCAGAATTCACATAAAGCTGTTAACCTACCTATTGAGAATTCATATAATACTATTACCTACCTATTGTTAGGGAACCACCCCCCCAGTAATTGACAGCATGGAACAAAGTTAGGTTAATAAATATTGATTTTTAAGAGTCTTGTTATTTTCAGTAGCAATCCAGATACAGCCCATACTCTGATTGTTTGTTGGGTTCAGGGGGTTGAGGAAATAGGAAACAGACTTTATGATTAATAAGAACCCATAATCTGAGGTCAGAGGTCTTTTTGTTCTATCTCTTTTGGGTTTAATTCACAAGGTCATGTTAGAACTATTTTCTGCAAACTAAAAACTTCATAATGCTTTCTGCCTTTTGATGACAGCATTAGGACATCAATCATGTTACCTAACTAACATTTTAATGGCCTTAGTTATTCATTTGTAGTGATCATTCCATGGAATTTTATAGTTTTGGCTAAAATGCAGAATATAGAAATCAGAGATTATAGTTAAAAAATCTGTTATCAGGAAGGGACCATTCTTCTAAAACTATTGTTACTGTTGTGTGCCATCAAATTGGACCTGACTCATAGCGACCCCTCCTTGGGTTTCTGAGGTGGTATCACTATGGAAGTAGATTGCCCAACCTTCCTTCCGAGGAGTGGCTGGTGGGTTTGAACTGCCAGCCTTCTGGTTAGCAGTCAAGTGCCCTAGGCACTGTGCTACTAGTGCTCCTTCTGAAACTATTAAGTATTGCAATAACTAATTTCAGAAGTAGAGGAAAAACAACAGACTGTGCAGAAGCAGTTTTGGAGCAGGAAGTAATCACGACATGAGAAAACCAAAGATGTGTGAATTACATCAAGTATAAAATTACACCTAGTTCCCCAAGCACAGAGAAAGGCTTATAGTATATCTAACAGGTCACATGGGGTTAGAAGGGAAAAAAATCATTCATTAAGTATTTATTAAGTACCTGCTGTTGAAGGGGCTCTGGTGGCACAGGGCCTAAGGCATCTGACTGCTAACCAGAAGGCTGGTGGTTCAAACCCACCAGCTACTCCGTGGAAGGAAGACTGGGCAATCTACTTCCATGAAGATTTACTGCTTTGGAAACCCAGTGGGGGTTGCTATGAATCAAAACCAACTTGATGGCACTGAGTTTTTTTTTTCTTTAACTAGGCAGGAGCTCCGATGGCGTAGTGGGTAAGGCATTTGGCTGCTAACCAAAAGGTAGGCAGTCTGAACCCACTAGCTGGGAGAAAGATGTGGCAGTTTGCTTCCATAAAGATTACAGCCTTGGCAACCCTACGGGGCAGTTCTCCTCTGTCTTGTAGGGTTGCTGTGAGTTGGAATTGATTCGATGGCAGTGGGTATGCTAGGCACTGGTGAAATAATATGAAAAAGACACTAAAATGTAAATTCCACAGGTAGATATTTTTTAATTGTTTGTTCATTGTGGCATTATTGTCACTTTGAACATACTGGCACAAGTTTGGCCCTCTGAAAACAATTTGTTGAATGAATGAAAAAGGCATGACTGCTTCCACTCCAAATCTTGTAGTTTAATGCAGCATTGTCCACTAGAAATATAATGCAAGGACATACGTAATTTAAAATTTTTTAATAGCCATAATTGAAAACATAAAAAGGAACAGGCGAAATTAATTTGAATAATGTATTTTATTTAATCCAATATAACTTCAAGATGGAATCAACATAAAATTATTGAGACACTTTATAGTTTTTTCCATAGTAAATCTTCAAAACCTGATATTTTATGTTTATAGCCTCTCAATTCATACGAGCCACGTTTCAGGGGCTCAGTAGCCACATGTGGCTGGTGGCTACCATATAGGACAGGTTTAAACTCTTAAAACATGAAAAGGAAGAAAGAAGAGAGAATTATGGAAGATTGTTAATAACAGTGCTGAGGAGCAGCTGGTGAGCATCAGAAGAAAGAACTGGCCGTGAAGAGAGAGGAAATGAAACTGACGTCTGGGAATGTGGCGATAACGGGGGCATGGTTGCTGGGGGAGGGGCAAACAAATGATTAGGAAGGGCATATCATTAGCTCTTATGTGGTTAGTTTTTGAAGAGTGGTGCCATGAAAGACTGAAATACAGTGGTAGAAAGCTGGGTGCAGCTGGTGAAAAGGCAATCAAAACCCTGCAAGATAATTCCCCAGCTTTTTAGAAAGTAATTCCTTTTGCTTTAAGCTATCCTCTGAACAATTTTTGTCATTTTAAGCCACCGTAATCCTAAAAGATTGTATTATTGCTAGTATTCCACTGGGGCTAATCCAATAAGCATAGATTGTCTGTTCTTGCAAGTGCTCTAACCTCAGGCTACTACAAGATACAATTTGTTTTGTTTTTTTAGAAAAGACATCAACGTAAAGTTTTTAATAGGTTGAGTAGAACAAAGATTTTTATTAAAAAAATTTTGGTAAAAAATCCATTTCAGAATCATGAATATTACAGTGGTTAAAGCATACAGCTAATTACTAGAAGGTCAGCAATTTGAACTCACCAGCTGCTCTGTGGGAGAAAGATGTGGCAGTCTGAGTCTGCAAAGGTTTGTAGCCTGGGAAACCCTATGGGCCAGTTCTACCCTGTCCGATAGGGTTGCTGTGAGTTGCAGTGAACTTGATGACATTGAGTTTGGGTGGCTTTTATACTAAATATGTTTAAATAAAAATTTTAGTACAGGTATTTTGTCATGTATTATGTTTCTTCCTAATTAATCGTACTACTTTGTAAGATAATTTAATCCTTCTCTTATCACAGAAGAATAATGCTAACCTGAAATCATTAAAGCCAGACAAGCCTGACCCTGAGGTAAAGCCTTCTTCTTGTGGTAATCTTATATGTAACATTCCTTTTAAACCAGTAATGACAGAGTTCTTATAATTAAAATGCATGATTTCTAGGAGCAAGCCAAAATAGCAAAGCTTGGCCTTAAACTGGGTCTGCTCACCTCAGACGCAGACTGTGAAATTGCCAAGTGGGAAGATCAGGAGAATGAGATTGTTCGGTACGGACGGAACATGTCCAGTATGGCCTACTCTCTGTACTTATTTACCAGGTAAATACAGTTACATTACGATCTTTTGTAGTGGGTATAACATTTTGGTGTAAAGAAAAAATGATGCTAAATGACTAATAGATTAAAGTAAATATCAAATATCTAGTAAAAAGACTAACACTGGTTCCTATGGCAATTGAAGGTCAGCGGGTGGTGCAGATGGTGTGTTAGAATCCTAAACCAGAGGTTGGCGATTCCAGTGACAGTTATTTAATGAATGAAACTCAAAGATATTTCATCAGGATTTAGATTGAGAAGGGATCCTCTTGTAGGTTTATGCCCATTCTTCCCATCATTTTGAAATAATTTTGAATCCTTTTTGTCATGCTGCATGACAGTTGCCTCTCACAGCCAGCATCGATAAGTTTATTTAACATGCTTTTGCATCGTTATACCAGTGACTGATTAGACATGGATCAGAGAACAGAGCTATGAGGCCTGCCACTGGAGAGCTGAGCAGGGTGCCAAGTTTCCACGTATCAGCATTCATTATGTAGCAGAGAATCTTCCTAACCTCTTACTACCTGACTTACATTCTTCATCTCATCCATAGTACCAGACTCTTGATCAAATGCCTTCTAGAAGTTAGTGTTGATCCCATTCTAGTATTCCATTAGAGTCTATAACATGGGTAGAGTAATTCTACTCCGTTAAGCCTTTGTTATCTGCTCAGTAATCTGTTCTAGAGATTTCTCAAGGAGTGACTTCACATTTTGACGGAAACATTTTGTTTTTTCCTTCTGAAATCTACCTTTTCCAATTTTGAAAACCTGGCAAGTATTTCATATCCCCTGTTTTCTGCCCCCTCTTCTACTCATTTTGATTTTGAAAAGAGCAGCAGCAGCAGGTCACGCCTGACAGTCGTTTGGTGTTCTGATGTGTAGTCCATTTTTGTGTAGATGTGTAAACTCAGAGTAGTTAGGATCTCTACAAGTGTTGTGGGCTTTGGGACTCAGCAAATAACACCCCTTTTCCACCCAAGTTCTGAACAAACTGAAAAATGAACCGGAGAATAAGGCAGATGGGGGTCAGTCACATTTGTAATTGGTAAAGCTGATGTTGGGGAATGTAGTTTATATTCACAAATACTTAGTATTACAAAGTTTTATCTTACCCGTTGGAGCAGAATCTGTCTGTGAAAGATTTGGAAGAGCGGACATCTCCCCAAACCACCTTTGCCTCCAAGAGAAGAAGGAGAAAAGAAGGGGCTACCATGTCCAACTTATTTTTTTCAAAGACGCCAAAATGTCTGAGAATGTCTAGTCCATATTCCACTCTCTAGTGGAGTAAGTGAGGAGCAGAGAGAAGCAAGGATGTTTTGCTCGTGGAAATTCCAGTGGAAGGAGGACGGGGTGGGGAGGAAGGATCCCTGACCGAGGAACTTCATTTCCCTCTTGCCTGTGTCTTCTGCCTTTTTTAGAGACAGTTCTTGGTGGAGAAGGCAGAAGTAATGTGCAAGCTTTGTAGCATGAAGAGAATTTGTTGCTGCTAGATTCCAGATCTTCTGACTGATGCCTACTCTGTTGCCTTTTTTCCTCTTTTAAACTGTTCTTAATGCATTCTGTTGTTCTGTTTGCTGTACAGACAGTCCACAGGTTACAAATGAGATCATTCCTAAGAGTGTCTTTAAGTCTTTAAGTCAGATGTGTAGGTAAGTAGAAGTAGGTGCATATGGTTCTTCTTTAGCCTAACTTTAGTGCAAGAAAAGGCCCAAAGCCTTTTCATTGATTTAAAAGCTGCACATGCAGCAGGTGAAGGTGACTGTGATGAATTTGTTGTGAGTAGGGGTTGGTTCCATCATTTCAAAGTGAAGGCAAATTTACGTAACATTAAGAGGTAAGTACGTGTTGTCCAACTAAAGTCTGACTTGAGTTGTCTGTAAATCTCTGAAGTTGGACATTCGTAACCTGGGGATTTACTGTAATTTACTTTTCATTTGTAGAGTTCTTAATTCTTCTTGGTCATTTTCAATGTGTTAATTATTACCCAATCTTCTGATGAGAGTGATAGCAAATGTGATTATTTAAAAATTTAGAATTGCAGTTCAAATGATGTGCCCATCAAAGTTAGACAACTGAGTTCTTAGCAGAGTTGTAATTAGGATTGTGTTGTTGTATGCTGTCAAGTCTGTTCTAAGTCTAAGAGCCCACAGAGCAGAGCAGAACTCCCCCACAGGGTTCCCGAGGCTGTACGTCTTTATGGAAGCAGACTGCCAGCCACATCTTTTTCTTGTGGAACGGCCGGTGGGTTGGAATCACCAACTTGTGATTAGCAGCCGAGCACTTACCCCCTGCATCACCAGGGCTCCTTTTGAAAGTAGAAATGAACATTTCTTGACTTTTGGTTGATGCTCTTTCCATTCTGTAACAAAGACCTTTTGATTAAGGCATATTATAAAATCTTGAGCTTAATGTATGAAGCATAATGAAAAGATTAAAAAGGAGAAGGAAAACTCAAGTACAACTCATCAATTTTAAAATTTCTGTATAAAACATGTTTACTTGAACTAAAAAAAAGTACCCTAAGAAATAATACTTAAATATTAAAGTTGCTTTAAAAGTAAAGTTTCTATTCAATATGATTAGTCTAGTCAATATTAGTCCTCAGAATTTTAGATCTTTTAATACAGAAAATGCTCTAAAACTTTAATATTATAAAAACCAGTTTCTGGGCAATAACTTTTCTTATCTTTTTAATTACTCACTTTATTTCAGAGGAGAGGGGCCACTGAAAACGTCTCAGGACTTAATTCATCAACTAGAGGTAGGAAAGTGGAAAAGATAGGTATCTGCTGATAGGATAATTTCATCTGTTTTGGAAAACTTTTGAACTATTGATTGTCAACAAATCATTTTCAAGGGATGGGAGTTAGGATCACAATACATCTTTTTTGGGGACATAATTCAATCCATTACCCCTGGTATCTCTCATGCCAAAAAATTCTGCATACCATTTTACAATAAAACCAAAAAACAAACTCACTGCCACTGAGTCAGATCCAACTCATAGCGACCCCTCCTTGGGTTTCCAAGGCAGTATTACTAAGGAAGTAGATTGCCCAACCTTCCTTCCTCCGAATGGCTGGTGGGTTTGAACCGGCAGCCTGCTGGTTAACAGTCAAGTGCCTGTCTAGCCTTACTTTTCACTGTGCTTCCCTATCAGACTGCTCTCCTCACAATTATAAAAGGTATGGTACATGATGAATACTACAAAACCAATCTGAACTGGCCCTCTCAAACGGCCAGTTAAGACATGTGGAGAGTTGACAAATTTTATCTTGCTTAGTGGAAGCAGGAAACTTCTCACCCTTTTGACCTCATGCTCCAAGAGTCATCACACCTGTATAATTGATGTTAGGAGGTGAGCCCCTGGGGATACCAGACATAACTTGTAAAGCTAAGTATCCTCAGTGTGTGTGACCATCCAGAAGAACTGGAGGCGTCCAGGCCAGAGGGTCCTCTCCAGGGATTCATTCTGTATCAGGTCTGGCAAATCTAAATAGAAGGAGATCATTGTGTTTGCCGCGACACCACAAAAAGTTTAGGAATTCTATGGCAGACTTTTCATGTTTGGGTTTTATTTTCTAAAATTCTGTATAAAACTTACTGGTTTGTGTTTAACTATCCATAAGAGGGACATCTAAAATTGTGCTGTTTTTCCTATCCTCCAGGCTTTTGCCACAGAGGGCTTAAAGCTTGCTTCAAGTGTACAAGCATTCTCAAAACAGGTAACGCACACCTGTCCGTCTGCCCAGTGCTGGTGGTGATGGCATGTTTGTCTACTTTAGGGCTATATTAGTAAGGTATATAGGTATTTAAGGTCTAAAATATGGAGTTTTGTTGGGGTCGTTACAAGTTCTTAAATTACATTTCAGCTGAAAGATGATGACAAGCTTATGCTTCTCCTGGAAATAAACAAGCTAATTCCTCTATGCCACCAGCTGCAAACAGTAACTAAGACACCACTGCAGAGTAAAGTGTTTCTAAAGGTAAAAGAAAGGGTGGGTGGTTAAAGTAGATATTTGAGAAACTGTCACACTTCTGTTTTTATCAGGTTAGCTTCCAGCTACTTTTTTTCCCCCCCATATAAAGTGTTAACACCTGCAGGACAATCTGTTTCTCATGCTTTAACTGGAAGAATCATTTATTATGCTGCTATTATAGCTGGCCCCAGGGAGCCCCAGGTTCTTCCAGTAACAGCTTTTTGGACATGATCAGCATCACAGCACTGAGCAGCTGCCTCCAACCCTTAAAATCTCCATGTCTAACTAGAGCCCAAGGCCCTGTCAGGGCTCCCCTCATTTGCTTTAGGGCATTGGTCTCACATCCACAAAACAGAGTGCCAAGCAGGGGATGCGGTGCCACTGTGTGAAAGCTCTGAGCAGCTCTGAGAGCCTAAGTTGGGGAGCTGTCTGCCACTCATTCTTCCCGGGCTTCCTTCCATCAACAGGCATGAGACCGGCACCCCTGGGTCTGTGCTAACTCGGTGACCTAATCTGGGTACCTTTTGAGACCTTGTCATTTTCCACAGCTAAGAACTTCCATCATTTGAAAACTGAATAAATGGTAAGCTGCTTTAAAGTACTGCTCTCAGAACCTCATTTGTCCACTTTCTGACACCGTAGGTTGACAAGTGTATCACGAAGGCAAGATCCATGATGGCCGTCTTGATCCAGCTTCTCTCCCTTGGCTATAAA